TATTTTGCTTCTCTGCATTTTAGGATTCTTTCGTTGCAAGTATCGTCTATACAAGACGTTTGTCCCTTCTGACCAAAATGCTTGCAAGTAAAAGTAGTAGTAGTTCTGTGGGGGAACCCGAATGGGTCCGGCGAGTGGGCCTTAAAGGCCCGTTTCACCATTCCCCCTCCATCCACCCCCGCCATTGGAAGTAAAAAATAAGATATACACCAAAATATCTGAACGGGAAAGTGGTTATTCACTATAAACATCACTCTAGAAAAGTCTACTTTTGTAAAGCGTATAGCAAGTCACCAGAAGTATATATATGCATGCCGGTTTAAAACGTTTTTCTTCGTCGTCCGCCGCCTAATCTCCATCCTCTTCTATTGTCGCAATCTTCTGGTGAGATGTTTCTTTCACTCATGGACTTTGGTATGGTTTTCTTCCATCACAGTCTTGGTCTTCCATTCCATTCTTGGTCTTCCTCGTTTTCTTCTTCCTATTGGTTGCCAATGCAGTTATTTTCTTGGCTACCTGTTATTTGGCATCCGTTCTACGTGGCCGTACCAGGTAAATTGTCTTTTTTCAATGTCCTGAACTATCGTACCTTCTATTCATATTTCTTGTTTTATATGGTCGTTCCGTATTCTGTCTCTTTGTGAGATTGGCATGTATCTTATAATGGCATGCATTTCAACTGCATCTACTTTCTTCTTTTGTCTGTCTGTAACCCTCCACGTTTCTGCTTCATACAAAATACTGCTCTTCACCATTCTCTCGTATATATTAAACTTCCTCTTCGTTGTTATTCGCTTACTCTATCTAAATTCTATTTAGGTATCCGATATGTTTTTTAGCTTTAACTATTCGTTTTTCTATCCCTTTCACATCTGTCCCAGTGTTGTCGAATGTGATACCTAGATACTCATATTCCTGACATTGCAGAACTTCCTGACCCTTGTCCACTTCCACATCTCTGTCCTGGATACATAGATATTTTGTTTTATTCATATTGACTGTCAGGCCTCATTCTTGGTACTCTTACATCAGTTTTCTAACCATATATTGCATGTCCTTTCTGTCACTAGCCACTGTGAACTGATCATCTGCAAACTGAAGAGCGAACAGGCACCTGTCATCTATCTCAACCCCCATACCATTGATCTTCCTTTTCCAATTTCTTAGTGCCACCGCCACGTATACTTTAAAGAATGTAGGAGAGATATATCATCTTTGACGTAGTCCTTTATTTACTATGAATGTGTCTGTGAGTTCTTTGCCAATCTGGATCCTTGATTTTAAGTCTTTATATAATTATTCAAGAGCTTTTATATGGTTGTGATTAATATTGGTTTGTTCTAATACCTTCCACAGTCTGGATACTGGGAGTGTATTACATGCTTTTCGTAGGTACACAAATCTGAGGTGGGTTCCCAAATGTCTAGCAGATCTCTTTTCTACAACCTGCTTTAGGCAGAATACGTTGTCCGTACAAGATCTTCCTGCTCTTATTTTTAATTAGCTTATTTCCGTTTTTATGGATGGATGATATAAAAGCCGTTTTCCAGTCTTGTGGAACAGGATGACCTTTTAGGCATTTACTGATAATTATTGTGATACTTCTAAAGAGCTTTTCAGTTCCAAATTTAAGCATTTCGGAGTATATTTTTTGAGCCACTGGCTTTGCCTGACTTAGGATTCTTAACCGTCTTCTTTACTGTTTCCACCGATATCTCCGATATCTCAATTTCTTCTCCATGTACTGTAATATGTCTTGGGGAATCTATTATATATTCCTGTCTAGTTTCTTGTAGTAGACCTTTGTATTGTTCTAACTACTGTTCCGGTTTGATTACCTGGATATTAGCTCTGTCCTTTCCTGGGTTTTTGACATTTGATATAAATCTCCATACCTCTGAGCATTTCTTTCTTCCTATGTAGTTGTTAATTTCTTCACATTTCTTATCCCATGGTTCATTCTTAGGTATAGTGATGCACGCTCTTAATTGTCTTTTTGCATTTTTATAAGAATTAAGGTCTTGTTCCCTTTTTGTTGTAGCCATTTCAAATATTTTTGCTTCTTCTCTTGGATTAAGAACTCTATTTCCTCGTTCCACCAGTATTTCTTGTTTTTATTGTATTTCTTTGTTCCTATTGCTTCTTGGGTAGCTTCTATTGGACTCCTTATAACGTTCTCATATAGCTTGTTAACAGTACACTCTTCAGGGTTCAATAGTTTGCTGTCGAGTCGAGTCTCTGAAATAGAAATACAGTGCTTTCATCGCTAAAACTGTTAAAATTGTATTTGGTTGTATCTGCTGTGTCCACGCGTATAGCATTGCTCTTTGGTTCATCTTTGCTCTTGTTCATTTTCCTGAATTACATCCTTATTTTGACTCACTATAAAATGATCTGACCCGCAAGTTATTCCTCTTGGGACTCTTACGCCATTTATTTCTTTGTTTGTTTCTTGTTTGTTAATTACATAGTCAATGATGGTTTTTAAGTTACGGGTATTCTGTGTTTATGTATAGCGGTGAAAGTTTTTGTGTTTGAAGAATCTGTTGTTTATTCTAAGATTGTGTGTTTCGCAGAGCTGTATGAACCTTTGGCCATTATCATTGGTTATTTCTTCGCTAGAGGGTCCCACAACTGGGCCATTGTTTGTACTTCCCGTTCTTCCATTGAAGTCGCCCAGCATTATAATTCATATATTCCTTCCAACATCTTCTAGGGTTTCATCCAGCTTTTCAACGATTTCCTGCTTAATGCCGACTCTTTCGTCCTCTGGTGGTGTGTAGGCCGCTAGAATGATGATGTTATATCCATGTACTTTCAAGTTGACCGTCAGAATATTTTCGTCTACTGCTTCCCAGTTGTTAATTTTGCTCTTCCAGTCTTTCCTTATTAGTATCGATACCCCTCTAGCTGCTCTCCCTTCTTCTGGCACCACAGTAAAAAGGTGAATGTATTCTTCGACATTTTCAGTGCACTTCCTTTTTCTTGGTTTCGGTCAGTGCTATCAAATCAATGTTCAATTTTTAACTTTCTGATGCAATACTATCCGTTTTTAGTCTAATACCCTGTACATTCCACATAGTGAACTTCATAGTTCATTTTCTTTGCCGTTTTCGTCGTCTTATTGATCCGTCCAATGTTCCGAGGCATCGTTTAAGTTTTTTGGAAGTTTTATGTTTTTTACGAGTCTTAGAGAATCGGTCTAATGCCTCAACCCCCATCCTGGAGGACCGGGTCAGTTTTTGTTTCACGGTGAGTATTTTATTTCCCCACTACCCTCGGAATCTGCTAATGTGCAGAGCCCGCGAGCTTCCCCTAATTCCCATATGGACGCACTCGATGGAGGTAACTGACGAGTCCCCCCAAGTAATATCTAGAATAATTAAACTGACAATAAAGAGATTTTTGTATACTAAATGCCAAGATCTTGAAAAAACATTATCGAAAAATGTTTATCACAACCCTCACATGAATATCAAAAAGCTAACAGAAACCGAAAAGAACAGCAACTAACAATATTGGAGAAATGGAACAACAATTGACAATAATGAACCTTTTTAAATATGTATTAAATTCAAGATTCATGTATTTAAGATTATCAATGATGATAAATAATTAGAAAATATTAAGTATAGGAAAGTATTGGTATACATGTCATAATCGAGCGAAACAAATTACTCAAGTTTAAAATTTATGAAATTTTTATGGGAGGGAGAAGTGCATAAACAAGAAGCGTATAGCGTAAGAACTTACAAATCGCTGCTCGAATGCTCGAATAATTGATTTTTATATAATAATTTATTTTGCGCATGATTATGAAGGAATAAAATCTTTCATATACTCTTATCAAAATGTATATTTATCAAGTTTAGCTAAAAAACCGGAATCATATACAGCGTGGTTTTTTTTATCTTGAAACTCTTAAATATTTCGGAAACGAGTGTTCCGAAGAAAAAATATTTCAAATAAGAAGTTAATATCTGGGAGGGGAAGTTTATTCGTGTCAGAAAAACAACGCCTGCTTCGACCTTGTGGGCGAGGCAGGGGTCAACTTGAGAATTTTAAATGGTAACCACAACATTTTATTGGAGATTCGAATAGTACGTCAAAAACTGGGAATAATGAATATAAAACATTTTCTTCGCTTTTGACAGGTGGCGCTGTAATCCATCAATTATCTTTTTTTGCTTTAGAAGAGTGTTTTTGATATGGGCGCATTAACTGTACAAGAAAAAATTGAAATTATTTTTGTATAGGGAGAAGCGGGCCGATATACTTTCAATAGATGTTTTGTTGATTTGGAGGTACATATTTGGTTTTCATCATTTAACAATTTTCGGACCGAATATTCCTCTGACATTAATAGATGCTATTGGTCACACTAAAATTTTAAGAGTTTCAATAAAATAATAGTTCAGCAGATCTAAAGCAAAAAATATGATAATTGATGAATTGCAGCGCCACCTGTCAAAATAGAAAAAATGTTTTGGATAGATTATTCTCAGTTTTTGACGTACTATTCGAATCTCTAATAAAATGTTGTGGTTACCATTTCAAATTTTCAAGTTAGTCCCTACCGAGCCTACAAGGTCGAAGTAAGCGTTGTTGTTATGACACTAATAAACTTGCCCCTCCCAGATATTAATTTCTTATTTGAAACGTTTTTCCCCCGGATCACTCGTTTCCGAAATATTAAAAACGCTAATTATTTGTTTGATGAAAAAGACGCTACTTAATGGGTTAAAAAAAAATATATATATTATAATTGTTTTGCCCCATCACTTCATCTTGCATATTATAAATCATTGCACCTCCTAAAAGTGTCATCTATTTGCAAGTGTAAAACCAAAAATGGATTAGTCATGTGCATTTTCAATTTCATTATTCAACAAATCTTGCTGTTGAAATTTTAAATAAATTCTACTTTGATGTGTTTTGTATATCATATGCACTCGTACTATTGCAATTACGATAATATCACTTGATTCGACCTATCTATATAAGAATTATTTCATAACCGGACTAATTGTGCGCTACGCGATAGTACTACAGACCGCGTAGTGAAAATCGTCAATATGGTTAAGGTAAGTTAATCCATTACATATCTAATATCTGTTTTAATTGAAAACAAATTGTATATACTTTCCTGACTGTGTTTCAATTCCAAATCAAAATTAATTCCTGGGTCATTTATTGTCTTTATTTATCAATTAAAATACGTTTCGGTGTATTTTTYCACCATCATCAGTTTTTACGTGTAGCGTTGTTACTGCTTTAARCCTTGGCATACATTTGAAGTATTAATTTTGTCCATTTTGGACACAAAGCAACTTTGGGAACTTGCACAGCAACTTGGACACAAAGCACAGCTTTGTCCAAAATGGATAAAATTAATACTCCAAATGTATGCCAAGGCTTAAAGCAGCAACAACGCTACACGTAAAACTGATGATGGTGGAAAAATACACCGAAACGTATTTTAATTGATAAATAAAGACAATAAATGACTGAAACCCAGGAATTAATTTTGATTTGGAATTGAAAACAAAGTTAATTGTTTCCATTCATTTTTAATTCCCAAATACAGCGACTTATTTAGGTTTAACAGAGCTTGCTGCTTCTATGAAAACATAACTTCATATTTTGAATGTCGACATTATATTGATTGACCATTAGTTCTAATGATAACTTACTTAATAAAAAAAAAATTCGATACTCAAACGTAAATTATCTGATGCATCACATTTTCAAAGCAGCAACCATTAAGGAAAAATAATTGAGAAGTGCCCAAAAAGCATGAATTCACAATATGCAACATAAAAGAGGCAAAGTACACCAACTAAAGGAAAAAATATTGAAATAATAAATTAAAGAAACTCTTAGTAAATTAATAAACTAATATATTTATGACTAATGGGTTTTTCGGGTTTTTAGGCCGTCGTTGGGTAGAATTTCTTCTTGACGTTTCGCAAGCACGAGTGTCTTGCATCTTCAGAAGTGGTTTGCTTGAAGGCTTACACTGTTCTGATGAATCATGAATCAGAGTAAGCCACTCGTGCTTGCGAAACGCCAAGAAGAAATTCTACCCAACGACGGCCTAAAAACCCGAAAGACCCGTCTTTAGTTAGTCTCAAAGAATGGCCTAGAAAGTCTATCTCTTTTGATAACATATTTATGTTTCGTATTCCAAATTGACACAGGAACTGTATTAAGGACGTTTGCACATTTCCTGTTTGTAGGGATCGGTATTTGCTGTGACCGGTGGTTCTTCAGGATTAGGAAAAGGAGTGGCAGAAGTTCTTCTTACTCATGGAGCGAAAGTAATAATCCTAGATATTCAAACTCTAATTGATGATAGTTTAAAGCCTTTTGCAGATAATATGTGCTATGTGAAAACTGATGTAAGTTTTTTTTTATTACAAGATTATTGGTTTTTGAATGTAAAGTGGTTACTTATATGAGAACATATTTTAGGTAACGTCGGAAGAGGACGTTAAAGAAGCACTTGCGACTGGAAAAAGAAAATTTGGGAAATTGAACGGAATAGTTAGTTGCGCTGCTTTTGTTGGCGATGTTGAGCCAATATATGACACGAAAACAAAACGACTTAGTAGTTTAGACAATTTTCGCAAAGAAGTAAATGTAAGTAGCTGGCACTAGATAAGTTAATCGAAGTTTAATATTTGTTTATATTCGCAAAATTAAAGGTTAATCTTATTGGAACACTAATTTCTATTCGGCAAGCGCTTCCTTTGTTAATTGAAAATGAGAAAGATGCTGATGGAGTAAGAGGAGTTATTATTACTATTTCAAGGTATGTGCTCTATTTTTTTTAGTGGTCATACCTTTGACTGATAATAGCACCTCTGTACAAGGTAAGCGCATGATTAAAAGGCTACTGCGATATTCTTTGCATCAAAAGAAGACGATCTGACCTAACTTTTATTAACAAAAAATGTCTGGCTCCTCTGCTATTGATTGGCAAAGTTCTTAAAAAAAATTATCTTTATGCTACAAGGTTTTACTAAGAGCAGAAAATCGGGAATAAATGATCAGTGCATCAACAAAAAAATGAATTGATTCCATCTACCAAATAAAAAGTTCTGGTAGTTTTTCTACCACGACACTCAAGAATTCACCACTTGTCCAAAACGGCTGAACTCGATTGTTTAATCAAAATATTAGACTTACGTAAGAACAAATACACAGCGAGTTTCAGCAAAACACATCGTACCATTCTCCCGATATTTTGAAAAAGATACATTTTTTGAAAAACTTTGACCGTTAATAGCAGAGTAGCCAGACATTTTTTGTTAATAAAAGTTAGGTCAGATCGTCTTCTTTTGATCCAAAGAATATCGCAGTTCCCTGTTGATCATGTGCTTACGGGACACCCTGTATTTACTTTGAAATATTTGGTCGCTTAAAAATTTAAGGATTACTGATGGATAAGATTTACATTAGCTAATTATCGGTTTCAGTGTTGTTGGTCTTAATGGAACCCCAAAAATGTTGGGATATTCCGCCAGCAAAGGTGGTTTAATAAACATTATTCCTCCTCTCGCAATTGAATTGAGAAATTATGCAATACGCATTATGGACATAGCGCCAGGTACATGTTTGATTATTCGATGGTTTTTTTAAGCATCTCTGCGCAATCGGTGAAAGTCAATTTAGGCTTCATCTGGTTTTTATTTTCTGCGCGACGAAGTGTTCTCTCGCGTTTCAATGATTGTATTGCTGTGTTTTTCTAGGTGTATGTAAAACCCCGATGATTGATAAGGCTTTCGGCCCCAAAGCAGCAGCGCAACTGAATAACGATTTTCCTCCAAGGCAAATAGAACCTGTGGAATTTGGAACATTTGTAAAACATGTTATCGAATCGCCCATGCTCAATGGAACATGTATCAAATTTGGCGGACGACAGGATGTTGCCACAGGACTTGTGGAGTGAATGAGGAAGCTTCATTTTTTTTTCCTACTAAAAAATCATCCATTTTGTTACTAAATTATTTCTATTTCAGTTGGCTTTGTGGATGGTTTATTTAAATAATGCAATAAAATATTAATTACTTATATTTATACATGCCAGAATTCCCAGCTTTCATCGCTTGAAGTTTGGCGTGTTTAAAATATCTGAGCATTTTGGGGGAAATAAAAATGCGTTTTGGTTCCCGAGAAATGGCTCCTTTTACTGGAAGAATTATGTTTTTCCATTTTATCAAGAAACGTTCCTCGTAGAGACGTTTACATTTTCTTGATAACACAATATCACAAGAAACGAAAATTGTTTTTCATAAAGATGTTTTATTCAGAATGGTTTGAAACACGGTAAATCCGCAAAGAGGCGTCCAATTTAACTCTAGAATATTTTACACCTCTGCGTGGTACTTTTTGACTTGCGGAAAATCCAGCTCTTTCTCGCTTTCGTTCTTTAACGTTTTACTAGTAGACTGGAACATAAACTTAAATTTTGTGGCATTAGGTATTTTTAGATGACGCGGAAGATAGGTATTGCAATTTTCGCGTGCCCTATAGGAAGCGCAACTTGCGACCAATTGTGTCGACACTTTGATTAATAACTCTTCAGCTTGAACTTTCTACAATGAAATTAAATATTGTTGTTTCGTATCCATATTTTGGTCCAATCTTGAGAAAATTTTATTCGACAAACACTAGGTTCTGATAATATCCGAGACTGACCATGATATAATTCATGGAGCTGACGTTTTAAATACTGAAATTAATAAAATGCGCAATAGTTATTTAGGAGCAATTAACATTTTCTTCTTCAAAAATAGTTATCAAGTCTAGCAATTTTTTTACTGTTATATTTACTACTGCAAGTTTCTGTTCATATGTAGGAAAATATGATGAGGATTGTCCCTTTGCATGAAATTTATTTTTGATTAAAAACATATGAGAATTCAAGTTTTGTTGCACATAAATACACTGCAAGTTAAATAAATCCCGGAAAAAAATGATTTGGCTATTAAATGGGCTTTCAAATCTGATCAAATTGACGTCATGCGGAAACGCCATGTGATTTGTCTGACGGCACAAGACACGCCGGCGTGCACGTAGTCTGTGTGTTCATTCAAACCGTACGCTCTCTTAATCTTATGTTTTGTTTTATTAGTTTATTTTTGTTCTTTTGTTCTGTTTCAACCATACACTTTTTGCAACAATAACAGTAGGTATCAGATGTACGACCACCAATCTATTATAGCACACACTTTGCTAAAACGTGTTCTAAAGGGTATGGGAAGACCGATAAGTAAGTCGATGAAAATTTTATCAGTTGGCATCCACGTCATCTAACTTTTCAACATATGGATGATTGGTTCAATAAACTTCGGAAAAAATATTACTAGCAGTAGGTACTTGTAGCAATCCCAAAATCGTCACCTAATGCTGCCATACTTGTATCAATATGTATTTTTTGTAATACTAAATATATACGGTGATTCAAAATTGGCGCCATTCGTTTCAAGGGGTGATAGAGGCTCCTTTGGGGAGTACGAGAACAATATTGAAAATTTGTTTTTCCAAAATTTCTAGAAGATATTAACAGTTGACGATCGAATTTCAACTTTGTTATTAAGCATTATTTTGAAATGGTTCCATGTTTAATTGGTAGCATATTGGAATACTTAAGCACTTAAAAAGAAAAATTACGATCTTTGCTTCAAATTAGAAAAATTTTTGATATCAAAAAAGTTCTCTTCTACAATTTTTTGATGAAAAGGCATAGCGGCAATGATGTATTTTATCATTAACAGATAGTTACAGGTGGATAGCCCTTGTCAATCATAACAATAATTGTCAAACTGTGACTTACTTTGAATTTCTTATCACGAATTTGCTGGTATGCGATTAGTTCAGGGAAAATGCTACAGTAACATAGCAGAAGCTGAAAGAACTCACGCTAACAAAGGGCGAGGAGAGTGGTTCCAGGAAGATAGTGGACGATAGATGTTCGGGGTCCAGGCACAAAGGAACACGTATTGGACATAACAGAATCAAGGCCTTCCAGGGGGCATCAGAGCACCATAACTGACCCTTTCTCAACCACCAAATAAATACCGAGAAAGGGCTACATTCCTACCACGTTTGTACGATACACACAGCACAAGGAGATGCAAATGGAGCAGGAGTTAATTAACTGAATACGAGACGCTGCTTGATAAGAGTGGATAATAAGGAGATTACACAGGCACTAGCTTGTTTGGAGTTAACCATTCAAATGTTTGGTGTTGTATGGTTTATTTGTAAACACCAATATTCGAGGTTATGAGAACAGTTTGACATTTCGTCAACAAATCTTGTTGAATTTACCGTTCATCCTTGTCTATCTTATTGTCAGTCTGTATAATTCCATGGTTACCGGAGTTTTAAATAATCACGAAGCCACAGATATTTCTTCAACTTTCAAACTTTCGATGTTCTTTATTTACTTCAACGCATAGCTCAGAATTATCTGCTCTAGATAACGTTGAACAATCTTCTTCATTCATCTCATCACTTGAACCTGAAAAACTCGACTCTGATGACACGTATATTTTGAATTTTGCAAGTGTTTTTATTGGGGATAAACCAATTCTTTCAGAAGCAAATTTGAAGCAACTTTGGGACAACGTTCTTTAATCTTCAATCTGCCTGGATGTTGCATTGTGATGCCTTACTTCTATACGTAGATCTCAAACTTGCTTGAACTGCTACATCGACTCGTACTGATTTACATAAACTAGCATGCCCTTCTCGTTCAATTCGAGCTGAAGTTTCTTCTTCACATACGATGTCATTTTTTGAAGTGTTAGGTACTTTATGTTCGCGTAAAACATTCGCGACAATTTCAAGCCTAATATGTCATGTACCCCTATAAATTCCACCTTCTTCATTCTCTTCATGCCACTTCTTCTGGACCACTGAAAATCTTCATATCATTCGAGGGATAAATTTTCAAAACTGATTCAGTGTAAATTTATTTGCGTTAATTATTCACGAACAGGTACGGAATCATATTTATGAGGAAGTATTGAATAGCGAAATATTCTTGCCCATTTTGCAAACCATTGTGACAGACTTTGTTGATAATCTGCTTGTGGATCAAATATATTTCTAAGATCAACTGGGCGGTGCTCCGCCACATTGTGAAAATGTGATAGACTAGAAATTGTATGAGATGTTTGAAGATAGATGAATTCGGCGCCTAGGACCGTCGAGGAGTCCAGATATAACACCATTAGATTTCTACATTTGGGGAGCAATAAAGAAAACAATTTACTATAGGTACTCCCGTCGATTCAGTGGGAGAACTAGTAGCCCGAATAAGAAATTTCTTTGACCAACTTGATCCAGCTGAAATAGCAATCCAAGCAATTGAACATTTATATTAATAGAAATTGTGTCATTAGTTTTATTACTACCTACATATTGCTTTTGATTGATGATGACTATTCATTGCGGCAATTTTTGAAAAAATCTCGACAATCAACACAAAATCGAAAATAAGTTTAAAACTACTCGAGTTACGTATAGGGACAAAATATGTACAGATGTTCTAGCCTATCTATTGAATAAATCACCAATGTATCATTGTTTTTAAAATAACGAATTTTTCCAGTTTTTTTTTAACAGAGTATAAAAATTGTTATGTTTGCACTTTGCTGTATCTAGATTGCTTTTTTCGATAATTCATTCAGCACTGAGCACAATAATGGATACCTAATTTTTTTGGCCACTGATATTTCAAGTTTCACTCTTTCATATTTGAAAATAAACTCAATTTTCGGCGACACCCTGTCAGTGGAAACATTTTGATAAACACTGCTCTATTTTTTGCTCAGAAACCGATAGAGTAGGCTAGAAAAACTTTTAATAAAAGTTTTTGGAAATCAAGAAAAGACAGTATACACGGTGTTCCATTGAAAATAAGTAAGTTTGAGACAACTTCCGGTATAAGCGGAAGTCGCATAAAGTCGCTGTTATTTCATCAGAAAAGAGCGCCTTCGAAAACCCCTTTCCGAAATATCCTAATGGGCTCTGGCCGTGAGACATCTTTTATAGCATTTAACGGTTTGCTTACGCGCCCATATCTTTCGTGCCAAACTTGTTAAAATAATAAGGACAGCTTCGTAAATATTTGCAACTTTCTCAGTTAATATTCGATTACTTCCAACAAGAAGCTGTTCAAAGTGCCGAACGTTATCAAGCATATCCTATAGCAAGGAAGGTCATCAGTGTAATGTGTTTACAAAGTACGTTCCGGCTTCGTCAAAGCTGCAGCAAAGTCTATTACAACCTCGCAAGCCTTATGTGGTTTTGGCGGTAGTCATAAAACTAAAGAGGACGAAAGCCTTTCTCATTAGCAGCATGTTACTATATCGTTTAATTCCGGCTTCCATTTCTGGGGTGGACGCTTACTGATCACACTATACATATACTAAAAGAAATGATCAATGACATTTTTTTTTGTTTTTTGGGGCTTATTACAAACAGTTGTCCAGTAAATTTTATCGAAAGTTTCCACAAATTAGAATACAAATTTGTATTCACAAGAAGATGACTAAACAGTCGAGAAATCCACTGAAACCCCTTACGAATAGATTGTTTTGTTTAAGGGGACTACGTTTTTTGCAGGAAAATTGCGAACTCGTATATGAAAGAGGGTTACGAGAGGCACACAAACGGTTTTTTGCATGGAAAGGGTTATTATTTCTGAGGTCGCTTTATGTTACCCTGTTTGTAGAGCGGATTATCGCCTCTGGCAATGTTGTTGTTTCTCCTATTTTCCTGCATACATGGTACATTTTCCAATGTGGCGTTTTGTTTGCTTTTCTGGCTTTGAGATAAAGGCGCATTTGAATGAATTTGGTAAACTTTGAAGGGAGGATGCAGGTGCGAAGTTGAATGTGTAAGAGTAACTAATTATGTAATTGCACAGGGTGGTAAATTCGACTGCTTTAACAGAAAGCACCTGTTCCTTCACTAGATGGAATAACATCGACTTGCACGCACAAATACTTTGCAGAATTCCGCACGCAATCCAACCAACATATTTCGTAAATTTGCCATAGCTTTGCTATTTTGCAGAATATTGGTAGTAAAGGGTGGCCCAACCTAAGTGCAAGATGTTAATTGTAAATAAAACAAAAACTTTTCCGAAAATTATCTCAATGTTTTTTTATTATGATAGAAAGATGATGAGAATTGTGTGTGAAGCAAAATATCGGCCAAATGCGCGCCACGGCTTCGGTGGTGTACCTCTATCCGATGGTCCATATGTGACGCTGAGACATAATTGAGGTTCAATGTCGTTAGTGTGCCCAGTTATCTCATCCTTTAGCTCCTAATATGTTCTTGGCTTATTGACGTATACTTTTTCTTTTAAATATCCCCAAAGACAGAAATCCAACAGTGTCAAATCATATGATCGAAGTGGACAATTAACATCGCCACGACGTGACAGAACACGGCCACTAAATTTCTCGAGCAAAAGAGCCTTTGTTTCGTTGGCTGTGTGGCAAGTGGCACCATCCTGTTCGAGCCACATATCGTCCAGGTCCATATCCTCGATTTCTGGCCACAAAAAGGCCGTTATCATCTCGCGATAGCAAATACGATTCACAGTACCTGCTTGGCCGACCTCATTTTCGAAGAAGTACGGCCCGATGACGCCGCTAGACCATAAACCGCACCAAGCAGTCGCTCTTTCTGGATGCATCGGCTTTTCAACGATCCCTGGTGAATTCTCATTTGACCAAATGCGGCAATTCCGCTTGTTGACGAATGCACTGAGGCAAAAGTCAACCAGTCGGCGTATTGACGACTCTTGAAATGTAAAAAAGCTTAAAATGTCAATTGAACCTTGTAAGCGTGTAAATTCAAATTTTTATTCAAAATTCGCATCCATGATGTTTGTGAGATGTTCACTTGTTGGGGACGACGAGAGTCGAGGTTGACGGCTCTTCTACTACATTATCACGAACAACAACAATGTTTTTCGCAAGCGAACTGGGTGAGCATGCACAGGTGTTTTCACATTTCCTACAGACCCGGTTTGCTTAAATTGGTACACAATTCTGCTGACTGTGGACACATTTGGCCGATTACGCTGACCAAAAAAATTAGGAAGTCCACGAAATGCATTTTGGTTTGAACGCCAATTTTCGTAAAAGGTTTCAACAATCTTATAGAGCGGCTCAATTGTGTACCTCTTCATGGTTGAATTTGTTAAACACTGAAACAAAGAAATGTCAAATTAAGTTGGACAAAAAACTTGACGTTAATATGTGACCCTTTATGTAAACACATTTTAATGCTCTTTTCTAGCAGTAATCCAGTTGTGCACGCAGTTTTATGATGCATGATTTTACCACAACTTTTACAAATAAATATATTTTGCTAATGCATAATATAAAATCAGGCAATTACAATCTTATTAGCTGAATGAAGTTAATTTGCGTTTTTACATTAACTCATTTTTTTGTGTCAATTATTTGCCATTAACATGATCTTATGTGCTTATGAAAATCAACTTCACTTACTCAATCAGCAGTTTACTTGTTCTAAAATACGTTCTGCTGTATTACCAAGTTCCTTTGTATCATCTTCAATAATAATGTTATATAGATAGAATATATATAGCGTGTTTATTTTTTATTCCAGATTGGTGAGTCTATCTGAGTTGTCAAGCTCTGCTTCTCCTAACAGGTAACGTTGACTTTTATGCGTAATTACTTTGCTTTTTATAAAATCTTCATCACCTGGTATGTAGTTTAATACATTTTCTGCTCGTCTAAATAATATAACCCTTCTTGCAAGGCAACTAATTATAAAGGACGATTTACGGTCGATGGAGTATGAGTGGCAACACCGAAAGTAAAGGCCCGACGAGTGCTCTGACGTCACGAGTATCATTTTGCGGTGATAGTAGTCCGAGCAGCCTACTCGATTTCTGTGGTATCGTACCGGCTGGATGCAATATCTCTACGAAAATTTCTATAACAAAGTAATGAGAAATGCTCTATCGACCCAAAGTATTTTCAGTAATCCGACGTTAACCGCTATACCAGTGTACCTATTCTTGACAACTAGCGAGTAGAACAGCCGAACGAAGTGGGCGGGGTTTTATGACAGTCGACCGAAAAAGTTTAGACAGTAAATCGCTTTCCATGGAGCGGGAATGACCGACGCGACCCAGTAGAAAAGGCATTTTCCCGGATTTTCCACCCTCAAATCGTATTTATTTATGTTTTGTTTGTGAATAACGGGTGTATCCATTTTTTTAACGAGTGCCAGCGGAGAACGAGGTAATAAACCACCGCTTCTTAGCTTAGATAACGACAAGTACATGATTCTTAGGTGTCTGTCTCTTTTATACCCAAAAGTTGGTAAAACGTCCGCCACAATAGTAAATAAATGAGGTTGCGAGCCTGTCAGACCGTCAAAATTTTCTCAATTGTGATTGGTTACAGAAGCTGGCAACAGTGCTTGCAAGGACTGCGTGTTCACTGGCATTCCCTATCATTCAAGAATCCTATTTTGTTCCGCTGGGGAAGATGAGCGAGAAGTGACTCTCTGGGATACTCTCTTCTATCAATGTCAAGAATATTATATACGTTGGTATTTTGAATCCTTCCTGTATATTACTGAAAGTTTAGAGAGGCCTTATAGAACCGCTTAGCAAGTTTTATACCGATATAAAGAGGTTTTTTAAAATTCAAATAATTTTCAATTTTATTTATCCAAAAAACTCTATAAAACCTGGTATTTCTACTCGGTTTCCGTACAAAAAAATTAAAATCTTGGGTTTGGTTTCGGCAAGGTCTGACTCATATATACCATGCAATTTGTTGTAAATTATACAGGGTCTTCAAATTAGTGACCTTCTAGCTAGACATAGAAACGCCTTCAATTGATTTTTTGTACTGAAGTTATACAAGGTAATTTAAAATTGGCCGTCATTCTTCTGGTTATTGGGGGTGTTTAGGGAGTAAAGATAGTTTTTAGATAAAGGAGAGGAAAAATCGTAAAATGAATAATTCTTATCAGCAACTGAGATGTTTCTAAAAAAACTAGATCAGCAAGATGGCAACACTGTTTTTCAAGGGTATCAGCCTCATTAACATTACGTAAATACCTGTTGCTTCTAAAATATCTGAAACGCCTTATTGTATGACAAAATGTGTTAAATGGAAGTGAGGAAGTGTAAGTCAGTGTTCTAAAGTGAATAAAAACTTGCAGAGTATGTGCTGCGAAATATGTTTGTAATTTTCACTTTTTTAGACAAAAAAATAAGTCCCTTATATTCAAGATAATCAATTCGCCTCACAAAAGAGGCATAATTCTGTTAAATAGTTTTATTGTCGATCTAAGACATTTCTGCTCCGCTGTGTAATATTTCGTGACGATTTACTTTTAAACATTGCTTATCTAAAGTTATCTCCTATTTGAAAACTCCAAGTGATGTTTCTAATGATCATAAAAATATATTCAAAATTGCCATACGATAGATAATTTATTCTGTCTCCCTACGCTAACTAGCTAACTTCTACTTTTCATTAGTTTTAGTAGGTATTTAATGTGCCGCTTTCAAAAAGAAAAGGTTTCTCAAGATAAGTGAACAGCCCCGTATAAATATTTTTATATTTATGTGCACGGTTCCCTTGACATCTACTGAAAGAGAGGTAGTTTCAACCTGTTATTTTTATCGGATTCTCGTTGGGAAAATTGATCAGTCATAATAAAATTTTCTTTACATGGGATTAGAATATAAAATATGGTGGATGTATCAAGGATTACTTATAGAAAGTTATACAATATATCCCATAAATAACGGATATAAGGAAAACATAATAAATATTGTTACGTTTCTCGGGGTTCGAATGATTCCAGTAAACCAATAAAATAACACAACAATTTATTGAACTCCCAAATACTAACTATAACAATCACTAACTCAAAACTATAGCTCGCGAATCGAACACACTCTGTATATCGCTTTAAATATTTCACTGTATAGCTGTCTGATTAACTAACTCACTCGGATGTTTTGGATATTTTACTTGAGCTAGTTCGTTGGAACTTTTGCTCTTTTATGACTGCCCTTTTCGGGACTTTTAAGTTTTAAATTAAGAAGAGTTTAAATGTGTGCTTAGTAGAAGTGACCAGTGGATTGTTGCCCGTGGCACTTCTGGTTGGGATTAGGGGGAA